AGAGAACCCACGCTGCACGGGGAGAACATGCAAACTCCATGCAGAAAGATCCCGGGTGTCCTCACCACCTTGCTTTTCGTTGCGAGGCAACGATGCTAACCACCACCTTGCAGCCCCCTCGCCACAACTAGAAATGACAATACATCTAAAAATATCTACGAGTGGACAGTCAGCTCACTCTTCTACTGTAAAGCCCCACTTCAGCCAGAGCCACAGTATTACTCAATTCACATTTACATTAGGAGCAGAACTGCTTTTAAAGGTGAAATTTGAAGGCATTCTTCACCGCAAGTGTGACTACAACCCTGTCTGTTTTATGTCTCTTCCACCACACAGTCACAGAGACATCCCCTATATAGCCAACAAAGCACCTCAGAAACCATATAAGGTGCGACGCTTCTTACTTTTACAATTCACAGCTCACAGCAGACGAGCACGACACTCTGTCTCGTACGAAACTCTTACCAGCAACGTGACCTATTTACTGCTGCTTTATCAAATATTAAAGCTATGACATTCACAGTTCAGCAGCTTGGAAGTACATTAGTCCGCGCCACACTGAGGTCCCAGAAGTAGAGTTTTGAGATTTGTCAAGCAGACCGTGTGTATTTTTGGCATCAAATGCATCCCACTACTACCCAAACTGCTCTGTCCATGTTCTTTCTCATCACATGATCAGTTTGTTTAGCAAACGATGCCCTAACAATAACTATGTTTATTACACTATTAGTATGTGTTGTGTGACATGACACCTTTTGGGTTTCTCCGTGAGTCTTCAATTTCAAAGGAATACATTTTTAAATTAACTTTGTATCGTGTTAAGGGGGGTTTATTTCAGGTGAGATAGCCCATCTGTCATTTAACACTGCATGAAACCCTGCCCTGATTTGTCAGGAAGAGTTGGGCTTCAGTCCCTCGAAAGAATTTCATGAACACGTGTACCATCTACTGCAATCGAAGATGAACCATCCTGCGCCTTTTTTTTTTGATTTGCCAACTCTGGCAGAGTAAATATGGGCAGAGAAGGGAAAGGGCTGCAGAAGTACCCTTGAGTAAGGCAATTAACCGTCACTGCTCCAGTGAGCCCACAAAGTATCCTGCAGATTAGACTGTAGCCATACTTAACAGTGTCTGATTATGGTGGAGAGCGTTGCTGCAAAAAGGGTTTTCATGTTCATCAAAACTAAATGCAATTGATAAAATAAAAATACTGAACAGGAATCGCTGTTTCTATACTTTAACCACCTTGTTTGCGTGCTGACTTGCATCGGGGAGCTCTTCTGCACCACTTTACAGTGTGCAATTAGGTCATTAGATGCTCACACACTCATCAGAAGTGTGGGCACACAAACACACTGAATCTATTTTCATTCACCATCTAGAATCCTTGGCTTTTTTGGCTCTTGACGTCATTCTCATCCCGACTCTACCATGGCAACAGACTGTTAGGCTGACTTCCTGCGGGGCTGTCAATTAATCAAGTCTAGATTTTGGTCTGTAATTTGACACAGATTATACGTTGTTATGGTGTCACTCAGATGCTCAGAAAGAATCTGCAGAAACTGATGTGCAGATTTATTAGTATTTTTTTTAGAAATGAATTCTCCGTGATGCCAGTTGTTCCTCTTGATAGGTCGCCAAAATCACAAAGTGCTGATCACAAACTGAGCAATTAAAGCTTTTTGATAATTGCTCTTAGCTATTACCGCGCTCGCTGCGGTGCTTCACGTCTGCTATAATGTGTAAGGCTAGAACAGCATTTTCAGATCGTCAGCCCGCCCACACATCTCTCCCTCATTCTCTGCGAGCACTACAGGTGGAGGAGAGAGTCAGTAATACAGAATGTGTGTAGGCGAGTGAGTGGGCGGTAACTGCGATTTGGATTCTGCGTCTTCACGTGTAGAAAGCCGTCACATGGCAGAAGGCAGAAGGATGAGTGGGCAGAATAGTGACAGAAAGAGAGAGGGGTGGGGGGCTAAAAAGACTACAAAGCAAAGTCAATCTGGCAACCCAGTGAAGATGTCAGTAAATGTGCACAGTTATGACATATGTCAACCAAGACATCAGCAGCATCTGACTCTGCTCCTGCCCGACCTACTAAAGCTGCCTTGAACATCCTCTAAAGTTGCTTATTCTGGAAATTCTTACTCCTTATGCAAACTGCTGAGTTGAGAAAATATGCTTAGCTAAAATGCCGTGAAGCCGTATTTACTGGCGCCGCTTATCCAGAGCAGCTTACAGATACAACTGCAGGTAGGTGCTCGGTCTCTTTCACAAGCTGCTTCAAGAATGAAACCAGTGATGTTTTTCTTTGGCTAAAACCTCTCAAGACATCAAACCACAAGTCTTTCAGAGGAAATCACTTTTTCTTTTCTTTTTTTTTTAACATGTTCCTGCTCCTCTTCGTGAGTCGCCACTCCTCCACAGAGCGGACAGTCACCTCATCAGCCAAAGTAGATGCTCCAAGAGTCTTTGAATAATACATGACCCCCGACCCCCCACCCGACCACACATCCACTGTGCAGCAGGTAATCCGCATTAACTGTGTCTCATAATGTTTAACCACCTACTAGAACACAACTTGAATCACTGCTTTATATTGTGAACATTTCAAATTGATTTCACGCACAAGCCAGGCTCCCAAAAATATACTTTCAGCATTTCCTAGATGCTACATATAGGTCTCCTTCTATATGCTCTAAATACATTGAATGTGCTGCTTTGCAAATACCAAGGATTCCATTTTTAGCAGTAAAACGTGTGAAATAGCTACACTAAAGACAATCCTTCAACACCAACGTTGGAACACACAGGCAACCAAAGCTTCTGCTAGAAATGAGTGTGTTAGAAGAAGGAAATTAAATCAGAATAAAGGAGGGGGAAGGAAGAAGAAAATAATATAAGGGATTGTGGAAAGAGGAGTGATTGGATTTAATGGGGGATGATTAAAAGAGAGGGAAAGACAGAGAAATAAAGTAAGATGTGAAGAAAAGGGGCGTTGGGTGGAAGGAGGAAATGAGGTGAAAAAGGCCAGAATAGAGGATGAAAAGAGAGACAGAGGGGTGAAAGATGGAACAATGGATGGCACTAGGAGGAAATGGAGAAATGTGGTTTTACACTATTCTGGCAGCTCATTTTTTTGCATTCACAAAGACCTGCTCTGTCACACACTCTAGAAAACCATTCAGTCATGACCAGCGCTGGGTTAGAATCAAGTGTAAAAACCCTTCTTCAGCCCTGGGCCAGAAAATTAAACTATAAAATGCTGAAAAGCTGAAATGAAAAAAAAAAAAAAGCAGTAATCCTACAGATAGACTCTAATACACAAACATGCCTACGGTTCAAGCTGCGGCTGCTGTTGCGTTAACAAGCTCGAGAGCGCGGCCAAATTACATATACTTCAAATTACAAATGTACAATCGCAGTAATTTAGCTTTCATTTACGTGACAGGAAATTAATTTGGAGAGACAATGTGGTTCTAAAAATGCTTGTTGTCTTCACAAAACAAAGTGTTTGAAATGTAAACCCCAACAAAACTTAAATAACTTTTAAATTAGCATAGAAAGGAAATTAAAACCAGCAAGACTCTACAAACAGACTGCAGGCATACTGTGTGCTAATCGTGTCTCAATTGCAGTTCACTGAAGCAATAAAGTCTCCTATTGAGATTTTGCCTCAAAATAATGAGGATACCTCATTCTCACTCAGTGGGCTGCCTGTAAAGTCATCCCATCGGCTTCACTGACAGAGATGAGCTATGAAAACGCTTGTATAGAGCTCTCTCATGTAGAAGATGAAGCCTTGAGGTCTACGTCATGTACGTTTCAAACTGTTGGTTTGAATTTCCAGGCAGTCCTTAAAAATCTGCACCGGAGAAGTGAATATGAGACAGCCCTTCTGTCTCGTTGTACCTTTTCACTCGTCATCTGTCGCTGTGTTTGCTTGGTGCTCATCGGGTCGTAGTGGTGTTGGTTTGTCTTTTTAATTAAATGTGAATGATAGAAACTGCTATTATCCACAATTATTAGATATTAGGAGACAATGTGGTTTCACAGTCTCCTGTCAAACAAAAGCAAAGCAAATGGGAACCAAAGCCCTGTGGTCGGCCACTTTTAAATGAATGACCACACGGATAAACATTTTGCAAATTAAGCTGGGAGAACAAGCGCACTAATCACTGTCTGCTCTAAGCCTGCAGGCCAACTTCTTAGGATTTATTAAATTCATGCTCAGTTTATTTGGATGCATGTGCTGACTCAGTGAAGGTGTTTTATTTGTGCTATTTGAGGTTAATAAAGTAAAATCCAAACTATGCAACTGACTGTAGAGTATCTGGCACTACTAGGCTGTAGCGAGAATCACTTCTATATGAGTGCATTTAAGCATAGATACGTAAATGCAGGTACCACTTCCTGTTTTTGATCCTCCTCCTTCCTGGTTAAACTCCAAAAGACAAGCTGAACAGAATAAAGGAATGAGGAAAGAGATGATGTGCAGGAAACATGCCTGAGTTCCAGAGAAAGAGCAGAGACACTAAACTACTTCAGGGTACGGTCCGCTGTCAAATTCTGCTGCTGGGAATATGAAAATAACAATTTGCTTTAATTTTTAATTAATTAATTCAGCCACTATTTAAACTTGGAGTACATTAAAGCACAAAAGCCTCATTTGCAATGTAGCCGAGTAAGAAAATAAAAGATACGCGCACACAAAACAGTAAAATGCTAAAAGGCAGTTAGTGCAATAAAGTCATTAATAAGAGCATTTAAGTTTTAGAACTAATTAAATAACTAAAACAAGAACAGCAGGAAGTAAAATTAAAAAAAAAAAAATTAAAAACCAGAATTGCCCTAAGGATAAAAATGAGTACATTTTCAGATTGTTCTGCAGGTTATTCCAGGTTGCAGGTGCACAGCGAGAAAAACATGCTCAGTATAAACACCCGGCGCCTGACAAGGTGCAAATTAAAAAGGCACTAAAAAAAAAAAGTCTTTCTTACCATTTGCAGAGGCCTCTTTCGCAGGTCCCTCTCAGTGACCAGCCTCTCCTGGTCGGTGACATAGAGGCCACGCTGGGCCAGGGCCTGGATGACGGCATCGTGACCCAGCAGGGGCTTGGCCGTGTCGCTCTTCAGGATGAGGCTGCCGGCCCTGCAGTAGAGGTCGGCGGATAGCAGGAGGCTGGCTACGGGAGGCTTCAGGTGCTCCTGCTCGTACTGGTCTGTGTAGAACGGGTCCTTCAAGTCTGCTGGGATGCTGTCTGTGTGATTCGGAGGAGGAGGTGAGATTTTATGTAAAGGAATAAAGAATCAACTATAGTGGCTCGGTGAGAAGAATGTGGCATTGCTGTGTTTAGCTTTAAGTAAATCATTAGATGTTAACACTTTGGCAATCGGTGGCCTGTTTCTAAATTACATCGTCATATTCCCATCATCATTAACTCGTGCTTAATTGAGCAGTGTCTAACAAGAGAAGGTAAATGACTTTAAAGTCTGATAAAACCAGAATAAAAGGTGAGGGATTTACAATGCAAGCTATAGAAAATATAAAAAACAGAGCTACTTTATCCCATCTGTCATCCCTTTATTGCAGTAAATCATCTCTATTAAGATTATGGAATAAAAAAAGTGAAAAATCTGGTGAACTTGAGATGCACTAATGTAGAGTAATGACAGCCCAATACCAAATCTGGCTTTTTGATCGATTTTTCTTTTTTTTCCCCTCATGGTACAGAGATTCTCTGCCTCTACTTTGGCAGAACTACTTATTTTCATTGCCATGTTTTGACAATATCTTGACATGGATATGTGTGGATAGACCACAGTGTTGCTATAGCAACTGCAGGAGGAGTGGAACCCGATCGATTCATCTCGTCTGTATCTCTGCAGCTCCCAGCTCCCTGGGAACACCCTTCTCACCGCCTGCCTCATCAAAGGGAGAGGCTGCATGTAACTCTGTGTGTGTGTGTGTGTGTGTGTGTGTGTGTGTGTGTGTGTGTTCATCACCTCAGGCAAGTCCACCACAAGGGGATAGTCCACAAATAATTCAGCAACATTGTGCTTTTTATTACTTTTGTCCAGCACCTTTCTCGCCACTGTTTGCAGAACTAGGAAGCATTTTAATAAACCCGTGCTTGAAAACAGCCGGCGCCGCTGTTGTACACAGTCAAGCTAAAGGCAAGTCCTTTTTTTCCACGACAGACTAAAACACTAAATCCACGATTAATTGGTTTTAAATGAGACTCTGCAGCTGTGTGAAAACATTGAAATGCGTTTGCACCCACTCCAGATGCAGAGCTCGTCACTGTGTCACCAGCAGGAGAATAGATATGAATTCTGATAGCGGCCTGCGTGCATGTGTGTGTGCACGCTGGGAAAAACGTGGACTGTGGACAGTTTTATGCTCACCACCACCGCTGCTGCCCATCCTCCAACACATGCACGTGAAAGTCAATGAATCACCTGCTTGGAGTGACCATTATCAACAAGGTCATCTACAGATAGACTCTGTGTTGTTATGAATGCAGACAGCAGCAGTAGCGGCTATCAGCGTTATATGTTTTTGTATGTTATGGAGCCCCACAAGTAAATTACATTTCCCTCTTTCATCCTGCATAGGGAGGTCAGAGGTCAGGCTGAGCTACAGAACAAACCCCCTGGAGCTCACAGTATGTCTTTGGTCATTTCAAAATGTTCTATTTCATGTTATTTTTCAGCATGCACAGTTTTCTCAAGCTCCCGTTTTGTGTGTTCCAACATTTAGTGGTTTATGTTCTGCAACGCACCTAATTCTGTAACGCTAATTAACGAAAGTGTCAACATTAGGAGCGTTTGTCTGTTGTGGCCCCATTTCCTGGAATTAAAAATCACATTATTCTGACATCTGCCACAATTATGTAAGACTTCTGTAAATAAACTGCAAGAAAATGCTCCCAACAATCCACTGTAGACTGAAAACTCCATGTCAAATCCACATTTGTTCAAAGAATATATAGAAACTATACCCCAGTTGTTGTTGTTGTTTTAAATCTTCCAACATTTAATTAGTTTGGTAGTAGTTAAGCATTTACTCATGCATGGAAATCTGTGCAACCTTCCTTCACAGTATTCCATTCATCATCTGTCGACAACAGAGCAGAACGGCTGCTGTCTGGAGTTTAAGGCCTTAACAAGGACATCTGCAAAGCTGCTAAGTGAGTGCGGAGATAATTACACTTATTTTCTTTCACTGTTTGCTTCAACCCAGCATTAAATAATGAATCTTGTCTTGTGAACCAGAGATGAACCAGTACATTGAAAGTGGCATCAGTCTATGCTATGTGACAGTATTTCCTGACAGCACATGATCTGCTCTGAGGGCTGCATCTTGCATGTACTCGACTGCATATTCTTGATGTACTCTTGCATCGGTGTAATGAGGCAGATGCATGTGAAGTATTCAGAGCGGCGTAGGCTGGGATCTGGAAATGAGCCCGCTCACTCTCTCTTTCTTGTGCTCTCCCTCCCTCGCTCTCTCTCTCTCTCTCTCTCTCTCTCTGGAGGGCTGTATTTTTGGAATCAGCCCATTTCATTCAGTCCTGATTGAAAATACACAGAGGATCTGCAAGGGATCTCATGTTTGCTGGGATATTACAACACAGTGGCAAGGAATGACGCGCTCAGACGAACTGAGCGGCGTTTGTTATTTCAGAGCCGATGCGTTTAAGCCCATGTGAACATTAAGCAGAGAGTATTACATTAACTACAATAAAGGGGATCAAAGTGAATTACCGAATGAATGGACTGGATGGAAGAGCGCACAGAAAAAATAATCTAATAGAAAGATCTTGCACTTTCAATTTATTAAGACAGATTTACAGACGGCTGTGACTGTCTTGGTTGAGTCTGAAAAACAAAAAAAGCTCTCGTCTGTTTATTTCACCTCGTACTGCAACTCCCTGTGAAAGTCATTTGCATGGCCCACCTAAACAGATGTTTTTGTGTTGTCGTTTTGTTGTATTTTTAGTTTTTCCTTCGGGATGTCTGGTCGGAAATGCATGTCTTACAGAGTTCAATCATAAACCTTTGCATACAAAAATTGTTTTTTTTCCCCCCATTCATTGCTTGTGAATGTGATGTTATCTTGCCACCCTCTATCAAGTGTTGGATGTAGTTCTTCACCACTAGGGCCAACCATCTAGCTCTCAACCTGTGGGAAATACTGTATTAGAATGCAGTCTATTGGTTTGTTTTTGAAGAGATAATCTGGTCGTTTTAAAATCTATTTTAAACCAAGGATCTTGTGCCTTACTAGCCAGACAATCGGACTCGCTCATCATTTTGTTTTCACTGCATTGCTGGAGATGTGGGTGGTGATTGTTCAGTATACAACCAAGCTATAGACACACACGGCCTGCAACGACATCCCATTTAAGATAATTGTGTTTTAACACAGAAATCAGCATTATGACTGCATTGCCAAACATATTTGATCCTTGATGTGTCCTGATATATGATCATCCACTGCCATTTATAAGAATCATATTAATATGAGCAAGAGAAGGATTCAATATTTCTGAAACCACACATGATTCTTGCCTCGTGAAGGTTACTGACCATCATACTAACCTTTTGTGTGCTATGTATCTTGGTGGAAATGTAAAAAGAATACAAACAAACACGGGTGATGCCTGTCTTTCTATTTTTCACTTGGATGCAGCAGCCTGAAGGTGACATGGTTTGGGACGGGTACCTTCATATATCAATATACTCCCTTTCCTTGAGACATTTTTATTGATCGCTGGGTTCGAACACAGGAGATGGGTTGCATCTTTTTTTTTTTTTGTCCTGGCATAATATTTATTGCTTTGCTACCAGGAAAATATTTCTCTAAAAGCCCAAAGTGAGAAACAACAAAGAACAGCTTTTGTGGAAAATCACCACAATGTTCCAGGGGCTTCTAGGATTGTCTCTATAGTCTGTAGTTTGGAGGATTGTTTCTCTGCTGTGTCCCGTTTACTACAAACACATTACACATTTATTACATCAGGTCGTGCAGCAGCAGATTAAAATACTTCAACATATTCATGCAATGTGTGTGTGGCCACACAGAGGTGCAGCCATGGACTTACCTGTCCCATACGCTTTGGCCACCAGCCATGTGAGGCTGCAACAGATTTTAGCTCGGGAGAAGTCATAGTGCTCAAAGGACTTTATAGCTGGAGTAACGAAGGTCTTCTTCGCATCCCTGACGTCCTGAACTTCACCCATATCTCTCCCTGAATTGTGCCGTTTTAACCCCGTGAAGCAACACAACGAGAAAGCATCCCACTACTGGAATTTCGTGGGAAAACAATGAACGGCTGCAAATTGAAGAGATGAGACGTGTTTCCGCGGGTTATTCACGGGTCCTTTCAGTCATAAAATGCTTGGCTGGCTTGCTTTTTGTCTCTTTTTTTTCAGACTCGTTGACACAATGAGTCGCTTAGTCTCGGTGTTTTTCATCCATTCTGCTCCCTAACAGTTGAAATGGACTCCGTCGGACCAGGCTGGGTTTCCTTGGATCTCACAGGGAAAAGTGCTCTTCGGCTGGAATGAAAACGGAAATATTTCCATTATTTGGGCTCTTTGGAAGCAGTCGGCTTCTTCCTTTCGTGGCCATGTATTACTGTATGAATAACCTGTGTGTTTTGCTCTCCCTCCTCTGCTCTGTCTCCTGGTGCCGTGATGCGGTTTTCCTGCCGCACTGAGGCTCTCCAGCCCTGCACCTTTGTTGCGCACTGCGCATGCGCGAAGGTGCCTTCACATGGTGTCGGGTATAAAACACTTTTGTTTGATTTCTTTTGGTTGAAAGGGACTAAATACGATTTTTTCCCCCCGCAACATGTCAGCTCAAATGTAATTGATTTAACATAGTTTGATAAGGCTGAGGTTTAATTGATTACTGTAATTAAAATATATCACGATACGCTGTTCGGGTTTCATGCTGCATTTTCCTGCTCAGGGTTGTGAGGACTACTAGAAAGGTTCACAATAACGACCACATGACAGCAGGTCAAGGCTAATGTATAATTTAATTAAACGCGTATGCAGACCAAACGACTGAGTCGTAGCTATGCTTTTCAATTCCGATGAGCGTTTAAATGCGACAAGGAGAGTGCAGCATGCTTGCAATTAGCAAAAACAAAGCTAATAGTGTTATATAAAGCAACATGTTCTCAAGTAGACATTATAGGTTATTGTGTTGTGATTATTCCAGACTACTGCATTCTCTGAGCCGCATTTAATTCACAGATTGTACATATTAGTTTCTGCAGTCACACCCACAATACAAAACATGAGCTCAGATTGGAGAATGTCGCGTTTCTATGAACCTAAAATGTGTCATATTTTTATATTTAATAAAAAACACAAAACAAGACATGTGGTCTTTTATTTATTTTTAAAATGACCACACACAGAGGCAAAGCAACACATAACAAACGGGGGACAAAAACAATATAAACTACATTTCCCAGCGTGCAACGCAGCACACGTCATCAGTGTGCGTCGCAATGTTTTGAACCGTTGGAGGATTTGACGCGAGGAGGTACGTGTTTGCTGCTAGTTTATATGAAACATTCAGCCTAGATACTTTCCAGCATTTCTGAGTAAGTTTTGGCCGAATAGCGGTTCGAAAAGTGTAATTTAAAAGCACAAAAAAATACGCAAATAATTGGCTTTGTATACTCTTTATTTGGAAAATGTCGGTTTAAGGGTTTCACACTCTTTGATATGGACATATGACTATTCTTTTCATGGTGGAATTTCCGTCTCCTCTTTGGTAATAATAGCAATGCAGTTTCTGTAGTCTTACATGTTCTGTTGTACAAGCACAGGTGACACCAGTTCCCACCAATCTCTCTAAGTCGCTGTCATCATAATAACAGTGGTGCCGTACCCTCGTCTTTTATATCAGTGTTTACATCTGCTTTTCTGTGTTTACAGGTTCCCACTTTAAAAATGTTTATGCCAAGAGCCTTGAAAGTGAAGAGACCAGCCCAGGGATCAGGCCAAGTTTTGCAAAAGAAACGCAAAGTTGGTCAAGAGGAGGCTAACATTAGTAGTTCAGAGACTGCTCAGAAGGAGGAAGCCATTGAAGACGACAAAACACAGGATGAGACAATAGAAGCAGCAGGAGACTCTGCATGTTTGAAAGAAAGCTCAGGACATGAAGATAGACAAAAATCTTCATCAGATGATGCAGAGGATGACGACGATGATGATGATGATGATGATGAGGAGGAGGAGGAGGAGGAGGAGGAGGAGGAGGAACCTGTTAAATCATTCAGAAAAAGCCAGAGATGGCCTGAGCCAGGAGAACCCGTCTGTGTGATGTGTGGTCGATATGGGGAGTACATCTGTGACGCCACTGACAATGATGTTTGCAGTCTTGAATGCAAAGCCAAACATTTAGTGCAAATGGGGTTGGGGACTGGGGCAGATGCGTTTGACCGTAAGGACAAAAACAGAGATGAAAGAACTCCTCAACAGCCAACAGCTGCCACTGGTGGAGGGGCTGACAGTGAAGCAGGATACTCCTACAGGGAAAATCTGTTCATATCAAGACTAACAGACGATCAGGTGCTACGAATCAGAAAGGAACTGGGCATTGAAACACAGGGGAGAGATGTCGGGAGACCCATCGTTGAATTTGAGCACTGTGGTTTTCCTACCACTCTGAGTAGCAACCTGAAAAAGGCTGGATATGAGGCACCCACACCGGTCCAGATGCAGATGGTACCTGTTGGTCTCACCGGCAGGGATGTGATTGCCAGCGCTGACACAGGATCAGGGAAGACTGTAGCCTTTCTGCTGCCGGTGGTAGTGAGGGCATTGGAGGTACAGTAATGCCGCTAACATAGTATTGATTCATAAGAAGATCCCTGGTTCATGTCCCGGTTAGGACGCCTGGGATCTTTCTGTGTGGAGTTTGCATGTTCTCCCTGTGCCTGCTAAGTCAGCTGGGATTGACTCCAGCCCCCCACGACCCCAGTAAAAATTAAGTAGTGTAAAGATAGTGGCATGATGGATGGATCCTGAAACTGCCTACTAATATTAACAGAAATCTTTGAGAATAATATGAAATTATATCCAGAGGAAAATAGTTCAAACAGGATCAACCTGTGCATCACAGTTTCTACTTTTAAAACGTTTTAACAGCCTTTCTTCTCCACGTCTTCTGATTGTAGCGTTAAAGGTTTGTGTGACATAACATTTAAAGTACATTATACCATCAAGTACTTAATTCTATAACTCGGATAATAAAAATACATGCTAGCAGCTAACTTTTCAGAACAGAAAACAATTTGCATGCAGCATTTGTGTTTTTGTTTGATATAAAATAAGATTTTTTTATTTTATTTTTTGTTGAAAAAGCCTGGAGCCAAGTTTTAGGGCTCATCGTTTCTTGAAGTTGTTTTGTTGCAGGGCAAATTTTTGTCCAGGTTTTAAGTTTCTTAATCACCAACTTTTCAAGTGACTTGCAGTATGGAATGCACACATCATATTATTTTTATTCTTCTGGGAAAAATCTCAAAGATCCTACGAAGCCAGGAGAATTATTCAAATTATTATGATTACTAAGCAGGATGATGCTGCATTTGCATGTTAAGTAGGTGGGATTGGATTCAGAGGACTTCTGTAACAAACAGCTGCCCTGCTGAGCTAGACTCCTCCAGCAGACAGAGAAGCTGCCCTGGAGGGAGCACTGACCTCCTTCTGCAGAGGAAAAAGCCAAATAAATAAATGCATTCTCAAGGAGAACAAGTTTTTCACAGAAAATAAATTCTGAATACTACTTCACTATTCAGAAAACCTTTCTAGTAGACATGGAATCCATAACACTTCACTTCTATTTTTAGAAACCAGCTCACAGTGTGTGCAGCCCAGTAGCTGTGATCCTGACCCCCACCAGAGAGCTGGCCATCCAGATAGAGAGACAGGCCAAGGAGCTGGTGATGGGGCTCCCCAACATGAGGACCGCACTGCTGGTGGGGGGCATGCCGCTTCCCCCGCAGCTCCACCGCCTCAAGAGCACCATCAAAGTACAGTATCTGTTTTGACAGTCAGGTTCTCCTCTCCCGGTCAAAGCAATGGCTTTTACATGATTTGACTTTATAAATGTTCTACATCATTGTGTTTCTCTTAATCTTCTAGATTGTTATCGCTACGCCCGGGCGGCTCATCGAGATCTTGAAGCAGAAGGCACTGCAGCTTGACAAAGTGAAGGTTGTAGTTGTTGATGAGGTATGACAACATTTTGAAATTTAGATTTGCTGAAAGTTCAGAAAATGTGAAATTTAACCCTTTATGGGGCAAGTGACCATATCTGGTAACTTCCTTAGACGTTCAATATGTTCGCCATGTGCCTCTTCTTGAGGCTGAAGAACCATGGGCACTTTGATTTAGTTTTTATATTAGAGCCAATATCACGACATTACGAAAACTGTCACTATGTTCCAGGCACTTTATAAATGCTTCGTTACTGGTTTGCATTGAACTCCACTTTGATTTACTTTTTGAGATTAGTGCTGAAACCACCACCCCAAGAACAATGTGACTAAATGAACTTTATAAAGACTTTGTTACTGGTTGTGTAAATATGATTACCTCAAACTAAAATGTTTCTAAATAAACATTTTTTGCAGTTTGTTACTTTTTCTTTCATTTATTAAAAATTCCCCTTTTGTTAACCGTAGACGGGCGAGTTACCATAACTTTATTCATCTTGATTTGCAACTTTATTTAATTTTTTTTTTTTAAAGTCACAAAAGTAATAATATTTTGGAAATATCCTTCAATAAAACCCTAGAGTTGAAATTTTTATTTTACAAGTATTTCAAGGAGTGCCCTATAAAGGGTTAAAGGTTGAAAGACTGTGTTTAATTTAAAGCAACGGCTCTCCGTTTTTGATCAGATCAACATGCATTCAACAAAGACAGTAAAGTTTCAGCTCTTTGTGGTTTTCTGCATCTAAATGAGCATCTTCCAGTAAACATGAATTAGTCATTTTCAAATTATATCACTTTTGCTTAAATGTACTATTATGATGACCAAACAACAGTTGCCTTAATTTTGCCAAACGTAATATAAATCTCCCAAATGCCGTTCATGCCGTGCTGTTCATCAAAATCAATTCTGAAATGGAGAAATGTCCTAAAACAGGAATTTTTGTGGTGTGTCTTGTAGGTCGACACTATGTTGAAGATGGGTTTCCAGCAGCAGGTGCTGGAGGTTCTGGAGCAAGTCCCAGAGGAACACCAGACTCTGCTGGCATCAGCCACCATCCCAAAAGGGACGGAGGAGCTAGCCGCTCGGCTTGTCCGTGACCCTGTTCGTATTACTATTGGTGAGAAGAATCAGCCGTGTGCCAACGTCAGGCAGATCCTGCTTTGGGTAGAGGAACCCTCCAAGAAGAAGAAGCTGTTTGAGATTCTCAATGTAGGTTATAGACTTGAGGTTTTGATTTTTTTTTACTGTGACTGTAATATTGCAGGAAACCCATGTACAGTGCTTATATGCTGTCTTTTTTATTTTTTAAGTCTTTTTTTTGGGGGCATTTTTTGCCTTTATTGTATAGGACAGTCGAGAGAGACACAGGAAAGTAGGGGAGAATATTGGGGGAAGGAATTGCAGCAAAGGGCCGTGAGGGATTCAAACCCATGGCCGCTGCATTGGGGACTATAGCCCCCATAGACACATAGGTCGCCAGCTCAACCAGTTGAGCTACAGCGGCAGCCCCATTATATGCTGTCTTTAACTAGTCAGCAGTTTTCTTAGCTTTTATGTAAGACCGGTTCTAATTGTACTCTGGAAACACAAAAAAAGTGCTTTGGAAGAGATAAACACAGAAGCTGGGTTATTATTTTAATTTTAGCTCACAAATTACAGTTTATTTATCGCTCAGTCTTCACATGCACTGGTACCAGCGTGGTGTTTTATTATCTTGACTACTGGAAGTGGGAATTCCTCGAGCTCCAAAGACCAGTCTCCCCACTACACCATATTTAGACAGCCATTGCTGCTGCCCCGGCCCCTGTCTGGAGGAAATGGGTGGGCCCAGAGCCATGGCCTCACTCCAGGAATCCCAGCAATGGCTTAGACCATTTATACAAGGCAAGGCAGGACGAGTCTGCTTAGTTAACCCAAAGAAAAAGTGCTGGTAGGCCATAGTTTGAGTATTAGGAGCCTTTTTCTTATGGGGATGTTACAAGGTTGTTATTTTGTTTTTCAACCGAAATATTCATGACAGTGAGGTTATTCTCTGAACAGGGAAAAGTGAGTGGGTGTGTGTATGTGGTTATATCATGAAATTGCAGGGCTGGTACGCTGGGATTTGGAGGGGACATCCCTAGAAAGCCAAAACTCTGAAGTGGACACGACTCTACCAGAAACAGCTGTTTCATATGTTGCAACTCTTTCAGCTCAGACTTAATAGAACACGTTCTCCCCACTTGTCACTACCACAGTAAACTCAGAGCAGTGAGAATCCCCTGTATCTTTTAGCTGCCCTTTTGCCCCAGACTAAGACTTCTAGGTATATTTACATATTCAGGCTGTGTAAAGCTTTTCCTGCTTTTACCAGATATCAGAAGGCAAGAAATGAATTTGAACTAGATAATAGGGGAAGTTTTCACTCATGTGTTACAGCACACATCGTTACAGTTAACCGATTACATCTACTGATAAAAACACTTTCCTCAAGTGTAGCCAAACAGATAAATGTGAAGGACTCAGGTATTTTTGTTCCTCCAACATGTGTGTTCCTGATTGGAGAGTCATAACGATCATCAACTGGAGGTTGAAAGTTGGGAATCAGCCTGTAGCACAGTGACACACATGCACATCGTTTCAGAGTTACTGTACTGAATGTTGTGGAATACGACAACCTCTCACCTGCTCATTCTTGACTTTCTAGGACAGTAAGCTGTACCAGCCTCCTGTGGTCGTGTTCGTGGACTGCAAACTTGGTGCTGATCTGCTGTGCGAGGCGGTCGCCAAGGTGACAGGCCTCAAAGCCGTGGCAATCCACTCTGACAAGAGCCAGTGGGAGCGCAACCGCATCCTCAGGGTGAGGCCGGTGGCAGACAGAACACGCACAGTCAAGCGGATAAGTCACAGCGCTCCCATGTTTGGTGTCCAAGAATGTTGCTCCTGGATTAGTTGTAGGTCGAAGACGACAGACAGACGCAGTTGGAACTTGGCCTTATGTTGCTTAATTACATCCAAAAGGATGTTGTTGTATTCATGCAAGAGGAAAGAACAAAGTTTTGATTTCACTCAGTTTCATTCTCTGAGACCACATGAGCTCTTTTTTTCAAGATCACGACTGCTTTAGGTAAAAAAAACCCTACAATCAAGAAAACGAAGGAGTAGGGATCAGTTTATCTAATTAGAAAAGGTCCAAAACAATGCAGAATTAATCCTAATAAACCATAAATTTGGATTATTAGGACACATGTATTTATACTTGCCTGAGAGAGATACTGAGTAGTTAAATGTAGTGTACTTGGTATCTTGGGAAACTTTAGGTTCTCCATTATAATGTAAGAACAATATCCGTGAAGGTCATATAATTTTTTTTTTTTTTTCTAAAAATAGAAGGTGCTTTATAAATCACAGTCAGATAATGAAATGTTTGCTCTGTTTGGTCTTCAGGGTCTTCTGGATGGAGACTTTGAGGTGGTGATCAGTACAGGTGTGCTCGGCAGAGGACTGGACTTAGTCAACGTCAGACTGGTGGTGAACTTTGACATGCCGAATACAATGGATGAGTACGTCCACCAGGTCAGTGAAGCAACATCACACAGCACTCCTGTCTGTTGTGATGTGATGCACTTTTTTTTAAGTAACTATGAGTTTAAAATGAATTCTTCGTTGCTAATCATATAAATCCTGTACATAGAGTTAAATGGCAGAATGTTTATTTCCAGAATTATTGTGCTTGAATATTGGTTTATCTTTCTTTCTTCCTGTTCAGGTGGGCAGAGCCGGTCGTCTGGGACACAGGGGAACGGCCATCACTCTCCTCAACAACAACAACAAGCGACTCTTCTTGGAGGTGGTGAACCGGGTCAAACCCACCGGGTCCATCCTGCCGCCTCAGCTCTTGAACTCACCCCATCTCCATGAGCAGCAGAGGAGGGAAAGACAGAAAACCAAGATGGGACATGAGGACAAACTAGTTACCCAGAACAACCTCCTAGACATCATACGGAAACATGACCGCCGCAAGAAATAACAAAAGTGCGCTCTCTATGTACTCAGGAGATGTTAGTTTGTATATTTCATTGAAAATACAAATAGATGGAGATTTTGTGCATTGTGACTGTATGTTTTGTATCATTTGTGTACTCAACTAAATTAAAGTGATCCTTCATTTCACAAGCAAGGCACTCACACATCGTACAAATTATTATTTTTTTGCAAACCAAGACTGACTCACTGTTATTTGTGACAAATAAATATCTTAAACCAGGGTCCCCTTTGGACTAATTTGTCTCAAGTCATCAGGGACCTTCTGCCTGACCATCCCTGATCTTCTAAAAATGAAAAATATGCCCATAATAAAAACACATTTTCTTGGTTATATTTTGAGAACCTGAAACTGCAGGACTCTGTTCTGCTTTGATAGGGCTATCTAGCAATATTTTTGTAGTACAGCTTAACATACCTCAATGAGACTTAAATGAACTATATGTAGTTTATAAGATGTCACTAGCTGACTTCTGCATTGTCAATGTTTCTGTTAATGTGTGTTTAAGAATGGGACTTTTCATGACAGCTTTGTGTTTTGTTTTTTTCATATTTCAACTCAACCATCAATGGTGATTTCTGGATCTACTTGTCCAATTTTACAGATTCTGAAGCAAAAGTATAATGAGAAACAATTGTGAACATTTCAGGCTTTTATGCCAAGTAGTTCCTGAGATGTTACGCAAACACAGCCTCCAATTTCAATGTACAAAAAATGGGTCTGCTGGCTTTTTTTCCCTTTTATTTCTTCTTCTTTTTTTCAAACATTATCTCAGAAAGTATTTGAAGGATTGAGTTAAAATTTCCCAAATATTCTTATAAATATCCAAATTCTATGCAAAAAAATACTGCAAAACAGAGATGGTCTAGCAGAAATTGTTTTAAAATTTTGACATTTGACAAGGAAAGACCCCTTTCTGTTTTTCTCTAAAGACTTTTTTTTTTTTTTTAAATTCACAGTCAGCTTTATTGGCCAAGTTAATATAGTCATACAGGAAATTTGCCTTGCATTTGTTTTATGTTATTTTTTTAAAAAATTTGCTCTCAAAATACTGACACAAAAAACACAAATGCATTTAAACTGGGCAGCAAGTTAAAGAACAAAAAATAAGTTTGATTACTATATACAGCTATAGATTTGTGCCTGATGATCAATACATATAATACAGTTATGGACAATAAATACAGGGTTAATTTATGGCTACTAAGAAGTATTTCTCTCCATCATTAGAAGCTGCAGAATTTGCACTGATGTTTTGGTTCTGTTCGTGAGCTCACAGTCTGTGGTGTTTGGGGAAATGTTTTTATTGTTCCTAAGCTATGGTGAATACATCATTTTTAACGGTTGCGTGCTAATTTTAGAGAAGAAAACAGGAGTGGCACACTGGCTCCACTGGTTCCAGCTCCGTTTGCTCTGGGCTGGGATGAGGTCATCCCTTCCATGCATTGATATTTCCTCACTCCTGCTGCCCTCTAGCGGCCGTCAGGTGGAGCTGCACGTCTCAGCCACGGTGTGACGTAACTACCACCGAGCGCTCAGCCAATCAGCTGCCACAGACGGAGACGATTTGAAATTGTAGCGGGCGACAGCGGAAGCGAGGAGGAGACGATAATAAACAAAAGTAGCTCTGTGTTTAGCTAACATTTTATTCGAATGGACATACATTCACTTTTACTTAACATTTCAAATCGTTTTTGCGTTCGTCTTACATGTTTTTTTTAATGTCGTGTATTATAGCTCGAGTCGCCGGAGTGCTAGCTAAACTTATTTTAACAAGCTAATCTGACTGTTGGTCACTTGTTTTTAGCCATGTCGATATTTAGCGTACAGGCGAGGAAGCACACCGCTTATTATGACCATCTGCTGTCCACATCGACGGCTAGGACGCCCGGCAGAGAGCGGAAAGCAACGGACTCAACGCTGGGTAGAAGTGAGGTATCATCCGGAGAGTCTGTGTGTGAGGACAGCAGCAGGTCGTCGGATAAAAGCCGGCAGGTGAACAGGACTTATGTCGTCTCTGCGCTGTCAAAGAGCGGCAGCGGGCAGCACACTCCCTACCGGGGCCGACTCACGCTGCAGAGGAGGTCAAGGAGGAAAACCGGGGCTGAGACAACGGACAAAACCATGACGGAAAGCAGCCAGAACACCACACCGGCGCCGGAGAAGAGGCTGACCCTGCAGCGGAGGACCAGGACTCCCTCCATGGATAAGAAGGTCGGCGGCGCGCAGGCAACACCCAAAGTTCTCAGTGAACCCAACGGCAGGACACCCGGTCTGTTCAGGTCCACGAGTTTAAGAGAAACTGCTGCAAGGAACAGAGTAGAGGCTGCTGTGGAGACACAGGGCAGGTTGGCCAACACCAAGACGCCCTCTTCTTCCTCCACAGCAAGGCAACCAGAGGAGCAGCCCCACACCTTTAAAACCCCCACCAAAAAGACCCCGTTTGAGAAAATCGCCGCCAGGAGAGACGTGTTCGAGAGACTGGCAGGGAAAGAAGTCCCCAAAACTGTTTTAGTCAAATCTGCAAGTCTAGAAAGGCCCAAACCTCGAGCACAGCAAGCAGGAGACGCTAAACCTGTTCCAACTCCTCGGTTCAGCAAAGTGTCTGCAGGTGTGCACAAACCCAGCACCGTGCTGCAGGGGAGGACCACAAGCACCTCAGCTCAGAGGGGAGACCTCAGCCAGGCCAGGACTTCAGCTACTGCTCCAGCAGCCACTGAGCGACTCCTAACTCGTCCCAGTGAGACTCAGAAGCAGCAGGACTCCTTTAAGATGGAGAACAGTGCAGTGACTGTGGCTGTCCGAGTCCGTCCTTTCAATGCCAGGTTTGTGAGCTGATGGTGAAGAGCAGACACATGTCAGACCCAGGCTTCCCAAATGAACAGCTGATACCTCTGGAGCTGCCTTAGATCTGATTGTTAAGCTGAACATCAATAGTGGAAGCTTGCAGACACACATCCACCTCTCCTAGATTTTAACACACTGTGTAGTTTTGTCAGATTGTGTGCACGTGTCAATTGTGGCTGTTTAGGAATTTCATTTTGGGGAAATGACAGCCAAACTCCAAATACTGCACATTTCCCAGTTTATGTAGGTGCTCAGATATACTTTCAGGAAGGAAAAAACAACACATTTCTGAAAGTGTGTCCCTTACATGTTCTGTTTAAGGGAGAAAGCAGAGAAGGCAGCACAGGTCATCTTCATGAATGGCCAGGAGACGGTCGTCCAGCATCCGGACTCCAGAAACACCTACTCCTTCACATACGACTTCTCCTTCTGCTCGGTGGACGACAGAGATCCTGCCTTTGCCGGCCAGCAGACGGTGTACGAGACGCTGGCCAAACCTCTGCTGCTCAGGGCCTTTGAGGGATTCAACACCTGCTTGTTTGCTTACGGCCAGACTGGTTCTGGCAAATCCTATACGTGAGCCTTTTTCTTTTCACTTTATCACAGTCACCTTTTATCGTTGAATCCGTTTCCATTTTGTGCTCTTGTTTTGTTTTTTATGCTTAGATTCATGCTACCTTTGACATGTTTTTTTTTTTTAAACTGCCATTAAACTTGTTTAAATTGCTTCTTTTGCAGCATGATGGGCTTTGAAGAAGAGGTTGGGGTTATTCCACGTTTCTGCCAGGAACTTTTTTCTCGATTGGCCTCCATGGAGAATGAAGAGGTAACATGTCACATTGAGGCATTCATTGCCACTTAATTGCTCTTTTTTACCATTTCTTTTTCGAAGCAGGATTTACTTGAAAAATCGAAAGGCTTTCTTCAGAAAACATTTCAACCTTTTTAAAAGCCTGGAATGTGTGCATTAACTGTCTTTTCAGTCTGCTTGTATGACTCAGATGATCAATTTGGGTTCTTGTGTTCAGGTAAAATGCCATGTAGAGATGAGCTACTTTGAAGTGTACAATGAGAAGATCCATGACCTGCTAGTGACCAGAGATGAACCAAACCAGAGGAGAATGCCTGTGAGTAGTTTGCAACTAATTGAATTTTACTCCAGAAATCAAGGAACTGCTGGCATATTTTAAATGTGCATTATTTGTACTTGCAACTGTGGCACATAACCTATCCTAATTTAAGGATTTCGTATGAAAAAAAAGGTTTCCTGCTTTTAGTGAAATTGGTTGCGACATTTTCTTTGTTGAAGTTTCGTGGAAACAAATTTTATGGTGCATAATGCAAACATGGGGCTGCAAGGTAGGGCAGTGGTTGGCATCGTTGCCTCGCAGCAAGAAGGTCGCTGGTTCGCGTCCCTGTGAGGGATCTTTCTGCGTGGAGTTTGCATGTTCTCTCTGTGCACTATGGGTTCTCTCCGGGTTCTCCGGCTTCCTCTCACAAGGTCCAAAAACATGTTGAGGTTAATTGGTGACTCTAAATTGTCCGTAGGTGTGAATGTGAGTGTGCTTGGTTGTCTGTCTCTAAGTGTAGCCCTGTGATAGACTGGTGACCTGTCCAGGGTGTCCTCTGCCTTCACCCTGAGTCAGCTGGGATAGACTCCAGCCCCCCCGCGACCCTAATGAGGATTAAGCGGTGTATAGAGGATGGATGGATGGATAACTTGTGAATATATAGAGTCAAGATAAAACCTGGTTGATTTTGTCTTTCCAGCTGAGGGTGAGGGAGCACCCAGTCCACGGTCCTTATGTTGCTGAGCTCTCTGCGTAAGAAAAGCCTTTTCTTTCTTTTGCTGAACATCTCTTTTGCTGTATTAGTCTTTAAGGCCAAAGTTCAGATGAACATTTCTGACTGCTATGTTCTGCACAATCGCTGACCTTGCTATTTCTTCACAGGAATGTGGTGAGCTCTTACAATGACATTCAGGTAGGTTGCACCTGCTGTCAGTCTTCTTCTTCAAATCCTTAGCACATTAAAAACAAGTTGAAATGAGCGAGCAAGTCAGGCCTCAGTGTTAAGTAGAGCCCATAAGGTAAATGCAGGCGTTGGCAATTGCCTTGATGTTAATGTGTTCTAAGTGCGCTGAAAAGCACACCGATGAGATGAATACTGAGCATCAAAGATCTCCAAGTGAGATTTCACACTGAGAGAATCCGTGATAATTGTATATTGATTTATCGTGTCCTTTTTGTAGGCTTGGCTGGAGCTGGGCAACAAGCAGAGAGCCACAGCAGCTACAGG